TTTTTTTTGCAGTGCTAACAGAAAAACTTGATAAAAAATTAAACAAACATTTTTAAAAGCAAATGGGAAATTAAATATTTTAATTTTTTGAATTTGGAATGATGGTCTTAGCTCTTTTATTTTTCATCTTAAGCGTAGACTTCAAATATAGTGTTTTGAGAGTGTTAATTAAGGAATATACACCGATATTATCTCTACCGTCTCTTTCCTCTGCCCCGTCTTCATTTCTGTTCTTCACGGTTGGAGTTCTCAAGCTGTCAGCGGGAAGAGGAAGGTTTTGGGCATGAGAACCATCTTTTTTATTTTATTATCTAAATGTTTTAAATTTGTTTTTAACATTGTTGATTTGTCCCTTACTGCTTCTTAAGTGTTAGGCTACTGCTGATACGTAAGATGAATGGGACCTTTAATCTGCACTTTGAAAATTCAGAAATTTCCAATTTCCAAATCATTCATAATTGGTTCATTGAAGTTTTTTTCGTTACGTTGGATGATTTGAAACTTTTATAAACTGCTGCCTGCCGTTCACAGATTGCACCATTTTCTGTTGCTGCACAAGTTTCTTCTATACTAGTCAGTTGAGTTGATGACGTCAGTGACTGCAAATAGGAAAGTGAAGATGACCGGTTCTATCTGAATGTTGGGAGACAGTTGACAATTGAATCTCCTCCGCCCTGTATAACCAACGAATATATTTCCGTAGATGACTTGTAATGTGTTATTATTTTCAGATGCATCTGCCACTACTACTTCTGGTAACAGCTCTTCCGACAGTTTTAAGTCTTCAGTGTTTCCACTGTGGACCCTATCTAAGCGCTCCATCTCGGCAGTGTAAGGGAACTCCAAAAGCTGTTGACTGTACAGCGTCCAAAGGATGTGTTTTTAACCATGCCGAAAAAGAAGTAGGAATATCAGTAGTTTTAGTTGTTAACTGTTGGCTTTTGCACAAACTTTTAACTGGCGCTTGGTTTTATATCTTTCTTATTCTTTTAATTTACAGTCTTTGGTGATGAGTAATGTTTAATTTTAGTTGCCGTTTTGCTTGATTTATTTGGAATTTGTTTGTGTTATTGTTACTTTTATTGTTTCTGGAAATAAGATGTAAAGTTTGGGTGGGAGACAGGAAATTAGAATAGAAGAAGTTTTGCTGAAGTGAAATGAAATTTTGGCTGCTCAAATAGATTCCCTTTTTTTTTCTTGGACTGCCCAGAAATTTCAGCTTTTTTAGTTAAAATTGAAGAATGGAAGAAAAAATTGCTGACAGACTGTTATTTTAGGATGGGACTTTTTATGTGGAAAAAAGATGCAGTTATGTGGAAGAAGATAGCCAAGCTGAGGGCCAGTGTACTGAAGTTATTTTGGAGTAAGTTTTTATTTTTCTCTTTTCTTTTATTTCTATTTTTCTGACGATTCTGTTGTCAGCATATGAGCTTGTTGGGGATGAAAAGCACTTCGGTTTGACTTGCGGTTTAAGCTTGCAAGGCATTATTGCCCAGAAGCAGAAAAAAATCAAATAAATAAAAGAAAGAAGATTCAATTTCAGGTTTTTCCATATTTTGATGTTACTTAACCCTTTAGCAATGCCTTAGTTTGCTTTTCGTCTTTCCCACTTTGTTCATTCTCTCCGTCCCTTCTCAAATAACAAACAGTTCTCTCTTTTTTTGGCATTTGAAACCAATCTTTATTGTTATCATATAA